ACGTTGGTGGTGACGTTGGTGGTGACGTTGGTGGTGACGTTGGTGGTGACGTTGGTGGTGACGTTGGTGGTGACGTTGACCATCACGTCATTCTCCTCGGTTAAAGCGTCAGCAGCTACAGTAGCAGCTGAAGGCGTTGCTGTGTAGTTCTGCTCGTCCTGCTGCTGGTTCACAGTGACGCTACTGATGCTGATGCTGCTGCTGCTGATGCTGACGCTGCTGATGCTGATGCTACTGCTGCTGCTGCTGCTGTTATCTAACGCGTGCAATACAAAAAGACCTGTACGTATACACGCACGTACACACACACAGACAGACACACACACACACACACACACAGATACACACACACACATACACGAGCACACGCCCACGCACGCACACAGAGCCCCCCCCCACACACACACACACGCGCGCGCACACACGCACGTAAGCACACACACACACACACACACACACACACACACACACACACGCCCACGCACTCACACGAGCACACACGCACGCACGCACATGCGCACGCATACGCACACGCACACGCGCACACGCACACGCACGCGCACGCGCACGCGCACGCACACGAACACGAACACGAACACGAACACGAACACGAACACGAACACGAACACGAACACGAACACGAACACGCACACACACACGCACGCGCACGCGCACGCACTCACACGAGCACACGCCCACGCACTCACACGAGCACACGCACGCACACACACAGAGCACCCCCCATACACACACACACGCGCGCGCGCGAGCACACAAATGTATATATATATATACTTGATAACGTCAAACTGTGACATACTTCTGCTCTTCTACTAATGAGTGATGTCACGTATAACTGTGACATACTTCTACTCTTCTACTAATGAGTGATGTCACGTATAACTGTGACATACTTCTACTCTTCTACTAATGAGTGATGTCACGTATTAACGCGTACATGCTGTGTTAGATCCAGCAGTATAGTGTACCGACCATCGACGCTCACTCACCCTCGATGCCGCCGTCCTGGCCGGTCAGCAACACTGGCGTGCTAACCAGGACCGCATCATCTCCACTTTGCTTCTCCGACGACGCGAGAAAGGTCCCGCCGGAAACTGCTGCAGAGGTCACGCCGGAAGAGGAAGCTGCTACGGAGGTGACGTCATGTAGATCGGCGGGGTCGTTGTAGCGGACAACAGAGGCGGAGAAGCCGCTGTCGGCTCCGACCTCGTTCGTGTGAAACTCCAGCAGAACGCTGTCGGCGTCGAACGGCCGCCGCGAGGGGGCGCCATCTCCGCAGTAGAGCTCCGTGTAGAGGCGCACGCGTCGCCAGAAGCGCGTGATGCTCACGTGATCGTACTGCGGCGAGCAGAAGGCAGCGTTCGAATCCAAACTGAACGCCGTAAAGTCTAGCAGTACGAAGCCGCCGCCGCCGCCGCCGCCTCCCCCACTATCGTCATCATCGTCGGCGGCGACGAGTGTTGAACAGACGACGTCGTCGGCGTAGTTATGCGGGTAGCCGACGCTGTGAACCGTCTCTCCGTCGGCCGGACACGCGGCCGACGTCGGCACCACGCTCGTGTCGCTAGCCGCCTGCAGGTGGCGCCGCATGGCGGCCGCCACGGCGCTTCTCGTGTCGTCCAGCGACGACGTCCACGTGTTTTCGTCGTGATAGACGTGCAGGCAGTCGGCGAGCGTGTACGCTCTGTCGTCGCCAGTCACGGCCGCACACACGGCGCGCAGCACGGCCGGCGCGGCGCCACGGTACTTATCCGCCGGCCAATCAGCGTCTCTGTAACCCGCCATGATGTCGTCTGCGGCTGCGAGCATGACGTCATCACTGACGTCATCTTGGTTGACATTCGTCACTGAAAAGATGAATGAATCAATGAATCAATCAATCGATCAATTAATCATCAATGAACACATATGATCCTCTTTTCTTGCGCTATAATATCTGCGAATAACTTCACAGCCACTTGTAATTATTATTGTTAGTAGTAGTAGTAGTAGTAGTTATAGTAGTAGTAATAGTAGTAGTAATAGTAGTAGTAGTAGTAGTAATAGCAGTAGTAGTAGTAGTAGTAGTAGTAGTATTGTAATTATTTGTTGTTGTTATTGGGTCGTTTAATTAACAAAATGGTGAAGTAAATTGTACGAGGTAAGTGTGAGGTAAGTGTGAGGTAAGTGTGAGGTAAGTGTGGGGTAAGTGTGAGGTAAGTGTGAGGTAAGTGTGGGGTAAGTGTGAGGTAAGTGTGAGGTAAGTGTGAGGTAAGTGTGAGGTAAGTGTGGGGTAAGTGTGAGGTAAGTGTGAGGTAAGTGTGGGGTATACATCAATGGTAAGTACGTACAACTTCGGACGTTCCTCGGCCCGCGCTCGGCGCTGCTCGCCCAGCCAGCGGACACCACCTCCTGGAAAAAGGAAATCAGGAAAAAGGAACACTACACCAAACCTGTGTAGCTGTGACAACGTATACAACTAACACAACGTGAGAATAAAGCACGTAATCTATGTTTATGTTTGCGTAAACCCCTCATGTTAAGTGTTTACGTGTTAAATTGTGTTTCTGTTTGTTTGTTTTCTTATAGTTCTCTTCTCTATACTTCTCTTGTTTGTTTTATATACTTTTCATAAGATGCATATAGCGATATATGCATGCAGCTGCACTAGTATCTAACACGCGCATGCGTGTATTTTCTTTCTCTCCATTCACTGCGTATTCAATCGGGAGACAATCTAGAGGCTCAACTGTGGAGATGGTAAAACTAACCCTGCTATACAATAGGAAATTCCGTAACGCGGGGCATACCTGTAGAGATGGTAACCAACCGTGACATATAATAGGGAATTCCGTAACGCGGAGATTAACTCTGGAGATGGTAAAACTAACCCTGCCATACAATAGGGAATTCCGTAACGCGGGGCATACCTGTAGAGATGGTAACCAACCCTAACATACAATAGAGAATTCCGTAACGCGGGGATTAACTCTGGAGATGGTAACCAATCCTTACATACAATAGGTAATTCCGTAACGCGGGGCTTACCTGTGGAGATGGCAGGTAACTGCCGTCGTTCAGCATCGTGACGGCGGCGATGCATAGCAACAGGATCGCCGCAGCAGCCGCGAGCAGCAGCAGCAGCAGCAGACGGACGGTGGACCTCATCTCTGTCCTCATCTTTTTAAAATTTTATTTTTTATTTATTTATTTAGGCAATTGTCCATCATATACAATACATAGCATACTTTTACAATAAAATTCTGAATTCATAAAATTGAATAACTACCAAGGATATATACACAAAAAGCATGACTAGCACACTTATTTACATTGTGGTCCTTGTTTTGCTATGCCTTGAATCTAACAATTACACTACTATCAGCACTAACTATTGAAATATACAAGTTTGTAGTTTTAACCGGTCATACAATGGTTCATTCTCATAAGACGATACAAACTTTTTTTTATGTCTAATTTCAACCAAATTCTTTTAGCGAAAATCATGTACTCTCCTGCTTCTAATGTTTCTACCTTTTCCATCAGACATTTCTTAACACTATACTTAAAACTAGAATAAACAGAATTTGTCCTAATTTACTGCGGTAGAGAGTTCCAAGCTTCAATTGCAGTATAAGTAAAAGAGTTTTTCCCATTGCTTCCCACCCTCGGTTTAAAAATAGACATCTCACCTTCCCTTGTATTGAAACTATGGACTTCTGACGTTAACATGAAACCTTCTGTCATATACTGTGGGCCGAGATTATGTAATATTTTAAAAACCCTATTGACCTTTAGTTGCATTACCCTGAACTCTACAGGTACCCAATTTACAGCCTTGCACTATCTAGCACCTATGTGTGCTCTAGTACCTAGGTTAAGAACACATCTAATGGCTTTATTTTGACACACTTGCAGCTTAGCCCTTGCGCGCTTTGTGAGACTGCTGTACCATATACTGCTTGCATAGTCAAAATGACATTGAATTAGGGCAGAAACTAGTAATCTTATACATGCCGTGTTTAAATACTTAGCTTTTCTGGAAAGAAATTTCAATCTATTGTTAACTTCTACTTCTACTTCTATACTGGACAGTCCGTAAGGAGCAAGGAATAAACGTCCAGGGCTATAGCTAACCTTTTTTACAACCTTAATTCCCGTTACCTCACCACTCATGGAGTCTTCCAAGTCTATTCCTAGATACTTAACTGTATTTTTATGTGCAATTGCCACCCCATTACATCTGCATGATGTCCAGTTTTGGATTATCCTTGAATTTGTGTTTAGTTCCAAAAATAATACTTTCAGTTTTTCCAAGATGCAAGGATAAATTATTATCATTGAGCCATTTATTAATGGAATGCAATTCTCTACTTAATTCTTCCTGTATAGCCTGTACCTCTGGCCCTGAAACTACTAAGGCCGAATCGTCAGCATATAATAAAAGCTTGACGTTAACTGCCTTTGCCATGTCATTAATATAAATCAGAAATAACAGAGGACCCAAAATCGAGCCTTGTGGTACTCCACATACAATAGGGTCCTTATTAGAGAAGGTACCTCCTACATCAGTTATTTGGCTTCTACCAGAGAGATAAGCACCGAACCATTTAACAGTCCTAATATCCATTCCGATAGTTTTTAGCTTGGCTAGTAGAATTTTATGGTCAACGGTATCAAAAGCTTTTTGAAGATCTAATAAAACTATACCAGTTAGATTTCCTTTGTCCGACTCATTACGAATAATATCAGTAAGATGGATTAAACTTGTGTCAGTTGAGAAATTTGATCTAAAGTCAAATTCGAACTCGTACAGTAAGGAATTTTCTATTAAATATTTCTCTATTTGGTTATAGGCTATTCGCTCCAAAACTTTGGACATGACACTTAAAATTGACACAGGCCTATAGTTTCCGGGTTCTGTTTTGCTATTCTTTTTATGTATCGGAATGACGCTTGCTTGCTTATCAGGGATTTTTCCTTGGATAAATGACATGTTGATTACATGTGTAAGAGCTGTGCAAATAACGTTTGATCCATCTTTTATAAATTTTGCGGAATTATCTAACCCAATAGCCTTACCTGTATTAATGTTTTTCAGGACCCGTAGTACCTCTTCCTCTCCCACCATTGTAAAAGTAAATAAATTTTCGACTACGCCTTCGTCCCTATAATAATTTTGAAGACTAATCTCATCATGTTCCTTCCTTTTGTGGTAGATCGTTCACCAAGTTTGAGGCCACACTTGTGAAATACTTGTTAAAATTATTTGCAACAATTGCTTTGTCAAAACATATATTTTCTCCAATTTTTAGCCCTACCCCGCTCAAGTTACTGGTTCCCTTATTTTTCATCCCCATACTCTTTAAAGTCTGCCATAATTTTGTATGGTCATTTTTGTGGTCCTCAACCTTTTCCGTATAGTAATTAGCCTTTGCTTTCTTAATTTTATTTTAAACTTTGTTTCTAAGCAATTTAAAATCCTTGTATGTAATCAAGAGTGCATAATAGAGATCATATAGATCTCTATTATGCACTCTTCATGTAATTTTATCTTTACTCCTCTTATGAAGCAGTAATTTTCTTTTATCTCTTTCCAGAATAAGCTCCCTAATCTCACCATCAAACCATGGCTCAGTTCTTTGTTTTATTCTAACTTGTTTAATAGGGGCGTGTTAATATTAACTTGTGTCAATGGCCTCTAGAAGGTATTTTTGGAAAATTTCCCATGCATGCTCTATAGAATCCGCGTTAAAGATTTTATTATTTATACCATTGCTTCTCTTTTAACTTATCTCTAAATACCTCTGGACTATATGTTTTTAATGATCTAATTCTCCTAGTTTTATGCTTACCTATAACTACATAACTCACATAACTCTACATAACTATTAACTTACATCATCACTCTTCCTCTTCTTCTGCTACTGCTTGCCTTCCTTGTACGATTGCCGCCGCAGCTACACTACGGTTCTACGGCTGACGATGTTCTAATCTACTTACTACGCGCTGGCGGGATCTCAGGGCAGCACTACATCAGACACCACGATCCACACGGCGTGTGTAAACGTCCACGTAAAGTTACTCCACACACACGCGCGCGCGTAACGAGAGCGTGTGGATGGAGAGATTAGAATGAAGTTCTCGTTATCTCAGACGCGTTGTCAGGCGCTCGGACTAACACTTGGTTGTAGAGATGAGAGATCGCGGCCGTTATGCTTACACCAGCTCCCGCCGCTGTCTCCAGCACACACTGTAACACGCGCACGCACGCACGCGCGTACCCACTTCCGGTAGTGGCTTCGATAGTCACGTGACGTGTACAACGATCACGTGACGTTACGAGACATGCAGAACACTCTGTAAATATTTTTATCTGTAAACATGAAAACGCGCGTTAAAATGTCTACGTAGAAAGCGTACTAGTAGTGATACTGGTTAACGGTTTTTTCGCAGTCAATTATTGTTGTTTATACACGTAACATTTCACATATCATGTTACACACGATCATTATTATTAACACATCAGCTTCCGGCCGTGCAATGCACTCACGCGCGCATGCACGCACGCACGCGCGCACACGCACTAACGGTCGAGTGTTTAGTCATAATATATTTTACTATTAGGGAGTATACGTACAACCATCCGATCATCTGAAACGCACTTTGTTATGATAACCATCACCTTGTAATTTAAGGTTGATAATAATAATAATTTTATTTCAGTAATTAAACAGTAGTTTAAAATTGCATTCGTAGCAGACATTGACGACTTCACAATGACAGCGCCCATCTCTTTCATTTTAGCTAAAGTACAGGACATCATGCAGAGTATTAGTGTATTTAATAAAGAACCAATGTTAGAGTAATTAAAATTGCGCACCAATTTATTATATTGCAATTTATGTATTTTAATGTATCATTCTATCACATATGCACCACAATCAACTCGAAATAATTCCACAATTATTACATCATTTTATTTTAAATGATAAGGAAACGATTACAGGCAAGCATCATGAATATGAATACAGTTACCTTTTACAAGTTACTCATTTGCTCGATACAGATACCTGCTATCAATGGAATGGTACAATCATTTGCTTTAAAATACCCCCTCATCCGCATCTGACGATGCCATCGCCATGGCAACGGGCACGCCATCAGCTGGCTGTGCAGCATGGATGGGAAGGCGACGATAACTGTACATTAGCTACTACTGCCGGTGATTTTAAAACAAAGACTCGAATTACATAAATAGTAACCCCCTTATCTTATAGCTGTGATGATCTTCCATCGCTGTACACAGGTTGAAGTAATTTCCTATCTGGATCAGGGAAGAGAAAGTGGACCGCATGAAATCAGTAACACGGACACACCGGCAGCTCCAGGGGGCGCCACCAAACGGCAGGCAATAGCATCCGGATATTCGCGCGATGCCCACGAATGAAGTTGGAGGTCGCGTGGGACTGGACACGCCCACGTCGGCAACTCGCTCGCACTCACTAACGTTTGCTTTTGCCTTGCGTCACACATCTACGAACACAGCGACAGCAGCGCGTTCGCTCCGAGCCACACTTACCCAGTCATCACCGCGCGCGTTCGGATTCGCCGCGTAAAACCATCACACCACCGTAGCACGCGAACTAATAATCACTACGCGAAATTTAAACGCAAGTGCCTATACATGACAAATAAGTTCGGATAACAGATCACCTCGCTATACCGCGGACAGTCTAACAAGCGTCGTCGTCGACACCTGGTGTACAAAATATGTGAAAACCCGGTTCGCGGGGCGAATGCAAATTGTTGCGTGGGGGAAACCTGCGATTGTCAGCGTTAGCTTCTGTAGTAACGCGAGTGTAAGCTCGCTCACGACCTCCGACCGGGACAGCAAGCATGCGAGAGTGCTGCGTCGTCGTGTCCGCACACACGCACTCCCAGCAGCAGCAGCACTGTCTGTCTGTCACGTCCCACGTACACGACCGGGAACCCATTCCGTCAAACCGCCTTTAAATAAATACGTTCGTATAATATCTTTTATGAGCTTTATTTGTTAAAGTGTACATAACAAAAACGAAACCCAATAACAAGCAGTGCCGCTGTACATGTATATTATATATATAATTGTAAGACCAACCAGACGAGAATAGAAACCAAGGTACACTCTTATTCACGACACTCTCCTGCCATCTATTGGATGCCACGGAAAATTGCGTCAAGCCAGCACTGAGTCAACATTTGATAAAAGATTATATGCAGATTCTGACATCATTAAAGACAAGACCGACATGAGCTGCAGTCTCTTCTTCCTCCCAATCTCTCCCTCTCTCTCGCTCTCTCTCTCACTGTCTCTCCTCTCTCTCTCTCTCTCCTCGCTCTTCCCTCTCCCCACTGCCTCTCTTGCACACCCACAGCTGTTACTGTTTGTCATGTCACTTAGGGTTGGTCAGTATACATGGTCGAAACGCGAGGGCGCGATGTCCACACCCATGCGTACACACACACACACGCTCGCCCACACACACACGCATGCCCACACGTGCACAGACACGCGTGCAGAAATGCACGCACACGCTGGCACGTGGCCACACACACTGCAGAGAACAGAGCGACGCAAGCAAGAACGACGTAGAATTCATCAACACGTCCTTGTAACTACAGTGGTGACCCAGTCACCAGACTGCCCTGCGTGCGTGCGTGCGTGCGTGCGTGCGTGCGTGCGTGCGTGCGTGCGTGCGTGCGTGCGTGGGCACGCGTGTGTAACGCACGGTGGCAGGGTGCTGTTGCTGCACCGCTGCAGTTGTGCAACATCATTTGGAAAACATTAGCAGTCAACAGCTAATATTCATACTCAAAGATGTTGCGTGGGTGTAGGCTAGAGAGAAAGAGAGAGAGAGACGGGGGAGAGGGAGATGGAGGGAAGGGAGAAGAGAGGGAGAGCGAGAAAGAGAGAGAGAGACGGGGGAGAGGGAGAGAAAGAGAGAGAGAGCGCCAATCACCGAGATGATAGATAGATGGATACAGCAGGACATAGGTGGACAACTCACATTAGAACGCTGCAGTCTGGAAAACGTGCATACACCCGTTGCCGGCGTCTTGCGATGGATAGAGAATAGAAAACAGAAATTTTATAGTCGAGAAAACATCAAAGCAGACGAGAGCAGGGCTTTACAAGATTATTAGTTACCTAAATAGCCGTGCCCGCGCGCTGACTTTGTCTGCACGCCGCCGCGTCGCCGCTTTATATCGCGTTACACATCATGTTTGTACATAGCAGCGCGACGGCTCCCACTTCCAAGCCTCGCATCCCGACAAATGCAGTCAGACCAGCGTTGCTGCTGCTGCTGCTGCTGCACCGCCCTCCACCGCCGCCGCCGCCGCCGCCGTCACGTTACCAACTCCACCCAACGCCCCCTCACACACACACACACGATAGCTCTCTCTCTCCCTATCGCGCCCCGCCGCAGTCCCTGTCGCTCGATGCAGACTCGTGCAACTTACCGAGCGACGAAGGAGAGTCGATGGCGGGAGAGCGACGAATACATAGAGATAGAGAGAGCGAGCGAGTGAGTGAGAGCGAGAGAGAGTGAGTGAGTGAGAGCGAGAGAGAGAGCGTGAGAAAGAGTGAGTGAGAGAAAGAAAGAAAGCAATAGAAAGAGACAGAGAACAGGAAGACTGATAGACTTTAAGAGAGAGCGCGAGAGGGAGAGAAAGAGAGAGGGGGAGGGATGGCGTGACCGAATCCACCCCCCCTCCCCCCGTGCGATGTGATGCGTGACACGGTGTTCGCTACGACGACGACGACGACGACGGCGTGAGAGCGCGACAGACAGACATACAGCGGTACCTAGCAGCACCCGCCTCCAGACTGCTTGACGGGCGTACTGGAGTTGATCCTGACGTTCTGCTTGCCGTCGGCCGGCGACGCGACGGGGCCCATGCGATTCTTGATCTCTGCTGCCATCGTCATGAAGGCCTGCTCAACGTTTGTAGAGTTCTTAGCGCTAGTCTCCAGAAAAGGGATCCCCAGCTGGTCGGAATATTCCTGCGGGAAGACGAAGACGACGACGACGTGAGAACGGACGACGTAGGGGGTCAGCAGTGACTTGCCTTCACACGCGCGTTTTAACATGTCTTGCGCGACTGCGTCCACGCGGAATGCACATGTGCACACACGGGTAGCTGAGTAGCACAACAGTCTGAACAAACTCTTAGCTGGGGGTCTGGGTCAAAATTTTGCAACTGCGGTGGATAATGGTAATGAGAGGAGCGTAGTTCACAGTAAACGTATGTAACTTGGCGGGGGTGAGTGTAGGAACGACGGCTGCACAACACGACTACATGATGGTTTACGGTTGCCTTATTATATCACAATACATTTATATTCACGGTTATTTATATTCACTACGATTTAATTTTATTGAATTATTATATTTATTAAAGCGATTATTGCGAGAGTTTTCCAGTGTTTTCCCCACTTTCATGACACCTATCGTTATTGCTTGAGTAACAGCAATTGTCTAGAGTAACAATAAAATCTCTTAGAACCTTCGTATTCACCGAAAACTGCCAGTTTCGAACTAATCGTTTTTGTAAACATTCGTTTTCTGTCATCTTGAACTAACAGGAAGTATGGATTAGCTTGTGGCGCCACCGCTTATCTGCCATAGACAAGTACAGGCATGCACTTGTTTTCAATTCATCACCGACACAAATACAAGTTTACCAATTCTGCCATTAGGCATTATCGGCATACGATAAAATTGATTGCTGTTACGATGTGGTCAAATCAATTTTTCTATGCTATAACTGCATAAAATCTTAGTATTTTTAATGTTGGTGTAATCAGTGATATTTCCACTGTCAGGTGAGACTATATTCAGCTTTATTGAATTTTTCTGAGCAAAAATCTCGCAACAACCGTTTTAATGCTATATTTTTTATAATTAATTACTATTTGCGTTAAGACTACGTACCTTGGCTGTTGTGTAATCGACGACTTTTTTGGTGGTCAGGTCACATTTGTTGCCAACGAGCAATTTGTTCACAGTGTCACAGGCATAGCGGTCGATTTCTTGTAACCACTGTTTTACATTGTTAAACGACTCCTAAAACACAAGAAACATCAACCCAACATTAATTAGTTGACTTTAATTAATCATGCATAACTTTTAGTGATTCATCCATCAGTTGGCTGATACTCTGACCGCCTACATCTTACATTAGGATGGAAATCGAATGCTTCGCTTACGACCGACACACAATGATAACTCTAGCAGCAACCCTGACATCTGTACATACTGTGATGTAGCTACCTACAAACAGTTACCTATATATATATATATATATATATATATATATATATATATATATATATATATACACACACATATATATGTTAACTACCTGGGGGCCGTTTCACGAAGCTATCGTAAAAACGTCATCTTAAGGATATCCTTAGAATTCTTGTACGAGAGCCTAACGCTGTCCTAAACGTCCCTCGTTAAAGTGTTTCACGAAACTTATGCCGGTGCGTTGTTAGACGGGCCTTAAAATTCAGCTGTAATGATGTTGCTGGCGACATAGACTGGTACTCTATCTCTACACCTTGCTACTATATAGTCTATATATAGAGACATGTTACAAGTCTAATGATGACCCAGCTCACTGTGAGTTGCTACGCTAATCTCTCGCGTCATTTAGTTTTAATACATGTAGGTACAACAGCGTGCAAACTAATAATAGGTTAAAAGTATTTTTAAATGTACTGAGAAATAATTAAACTAAAGCAAGGTTGTCATATTTCCTGCAACTAGAACTACCACAAATGACGTATTGACTGAACAAAAATGTAACATAAATTCTGAAGGTTTAGATTTACGTTTACTTTGAGACAGTATTGGCGCCATAGGATACAGTGCATACATACCTATAGCACATACCGCCATAGCATACATACACGAACAGCCGAAGCACGCCACATGTAAGGTGCAAGGAAGCATTTCATCTCTTCAAAATCTGCTACCACAATGAGAAGCTTCTTAGCCACACTTAACCCCTGCGTGTCATGCCTTCACAGGCCTTGCACAGTATTCTCGTAGACACAGAAGTTACCTTCTCGGCGGGTTTTCGCTTTACACTACTGCTTGCCAAAACAATAAAAACATGCGGGAAATCGCGCGTTGCTTGCTGTACGATAGCCTAAGTACTGCCCCTGACCTGTCCTTAATATTCCTCCTTAATAGCAACGTCGTTGAGTTAGCGAGACGTTTGTGAAACGTGGAAACTTAGCGAGGCTTTCGTGAAACACTCTATATATAAGGATATCCTAAAACCCCTCTTTAACCCATCACTAACTTAACGAGCGCTTCGTGAAACGGCCCCCAGGTCTGTGTGGTGGGTAAGGCAGGAGTAAGGGCACAGTGATAAGAGCAGGGGGGGGGGGTAACTAGTGAGCGTAATAGGTAACTACCTGGTCCGTGACGTCGTAGACAACGATGATTCCATGCGCGCCGCGGTAGTAGCTGGAAGTGATTGTACGGAACCGCTCCTGACCCGCCGTGTCCCACTAGACGCGAGCGAAAAACACATGAACATCCATCGGCACGTGCATCAAAAACGCGCGCACACACACAATCGTGTATCACATGACATGCACGACACGTGTATCACATGACACGCAGCACGACGCGTGTATCACATGACATGCACGACGCGTGTATCACATGACACGCACGACGCGTGTACCACATGACACGCACGACGCGTGTATCACATGACGTGACAATGACAATATTACTATTAGTTAACTCAGCTAGCTATTGGAGATTAAACCTTCATTTCAATTTCATTTTATATTATGTATTTTCTAACACATGGAGATGTTGTCCTTACAGCTTTTCTTGTGTGTGGTATTTTTTTTAAATATTAAACTTTTAATCTTTAAATTACTTAAAAACTTTAATCTACTTAAACATTTTATTAAAGATATTTCAGTTGAAGAAATATTTAACGATTAGACTACAATTAATGTTCGTTAACAATTACCATTAGTAAATACTTACAATCTGCAGCTTTATCGTCTTTCCGTCTAATTCTATTGTTCGTATTTTCTGTAAACGAAACACAAACAACAATTAACAAGCAGTTCTTATGGTAGTTAAAAATGCTGCAACTTCAATCACAGCTCTCTGACAACCACGGTGCAGGGAGGGAGGGGCACGGCAGTAAAGGTTGCACATTGTTTTTTTGATTGAATTTGATGAGCAGTTATGTTGCAATGCCCTTAGAGTGTTACCCGTCCGTAACCCTAACAGTATCCTTAATTTACTTACCATTAAATACTAGCTACACATACAATCATGCCAACAGTATCCTTAATTTACTTACCATTAAATACTAGCTACACATACAATCATGCCAACAGTATCCTTAATTTACTTACCATTAAATACTAGCTACACATACAATAATGTCAATATTCCTTCGCAATACACCGGTTGTGTCGACAATGACGCGGCATCACCGCGTCGTCGCCGCAATCTAAAATTATCGATGATTAATCGATCATCGGTCGTTTTGTAAAACCGATGATCGATCATGAAATTTGGACCGATCTCCAACACTAGTTGCTATATATCCCCGTCTCCACCAACAGTAGAAACACGCTCAGGGCTGTAATAAGAGCTCATACACTTTCCCACGCAGATAAAAAATGACGGCATTCAATTTCACATTTCCCTTCATTAAGGCAATCTCCGCACCCCGCGTGCCACTGACGAGCTTTCGGAAATCGCAAACTAATCAACGCGAAGTTGCGAAAACGTGAAGCGTTGTGAAGCACATCCGACGAAAATAAATCTACTCTCGCACGAAGAGACTGCGAGATTATCTTGATTCAAATTCTCTAGATTGCGCAATTAACGTAAATTGAGAGTTTGTCAGTCAGGGTACGATCCTTGATAACCCAGGTTATGCTAGGATGCGCGCGCAGACATGTTTAGCTGCGCTAGCTCGACAGAATGACACGTCAGACGCGTCATCATCACCGGCTGAATCTTACCGATGCAAACAAACACATACACATGCTGTGCAGCACATGCACACTACAGCTATCGATGGGATCTCACCCACCTTCTGTCATCATGCGCGCGGAACTACCCGCATCATCATCATCATCTATAATCACCATTTTACATAGGACAGATGTTTGAATGTTGAACCATTTCACAATCCAAATGGAGGATGAAATTGAATTAACCTTATATATATGCACTTTGGCTGCATATTTTTCGCGATGACCATCTTCTTTTTTTTATTCAAACCTGTACCTTATTCAGTAGTTTCACCAAAAATGACACCGCACAGAATTCACGATGGATTCGTGTGTGCGTGCGTGTGCGTGCGTGTTTGCGTGTGCATGCACATCCGTGCGTGCATGAGTGTGTGCGTGCGTAAGTGTGCATGAGTGTGTGCATGCGTGAGTGCGTGCGTGCGTGTGGAGGTGGGGTGTGTGTGCGTGCGCATCCCTGCGTACATGAGTGTGTGTGCGCATGCATGAGTGTGTGTGCGTGCGTGTGTGTGTGCGCGTGCGTGCATGAGTGTGTGTGCGCATGCATGAGTGTGTGTGCATGCGTGAGTGTGTGCGTGCGTGTGGAGGTGGGGTGTGTGTGCGTGCGCATCCCTGCGTACATGAGTGTGCGTGCGCATGCATGAGTGTGTGTGCGTGCGTGTGTGTGTGCGCGTGCGTACATGAGTGTGCGTGCGCATGTATGAGTGTGTGTGCGTGCGTGTGTGTGTGCGCGTGCGTGCATGAGTGTGTGTTTGCGTGTGTGCGTGTGTGCGTGCGTGCGTGTGGATGTGGGGGGGACCACACGACCGACCACCCGTTCTCTCTGCGAGCGTTCGTTCGTCACGTGACGCGTCCGTCGTGTGCGTGTGCGCTCTCACCAGACATCGTGCCGATACGCGGCAGTACCCCCCAGCAGCAGCAGCAGCTGTTGCCAGAGCATGGAGTGTTGTTGCTGCTGCTGCAGACTCAGCCCCAGCGTTCGCTCGTTCTCTCGTCACCACCTGTCTGCTGAGTGCTAAGCGAATTAGCGCTTACGACTTTGTTACTCGCTACAACTGTCTGCCGAACCTTCATTCTCAAACATTTCCCCCCCGTACTGTGTAACCGCCCACGCGGACGGAGTTGCTAGACGATCCACGCGGGACTAGTAGATCAGGAAACGTTCCGGATTATTGAAGTTCCCAAGATCACTACCCGGTCTAACATCGTTGTGTCTAGACTAATGCTAAGCCCAGTGTTGGAAATAGTAGCATCCCCCCTCTCGTCTAGGACGGTAACCAGGGCTCGAAGTAACCGACGGCACTGATGGCAATTGCCCCTATCAATCGCGGTACTGCCCCTGAAAATCCAACTCGACCGACGGCAGTCACCTGCCTTGCCCTTTTGTGTAATTGCCGTCGGTGCCCTTTAATCTACTGCCCTAGTTTCGTTTTTAGTCAAATCAACATAACACGTGCGCGTGCGTGCTGTAGTTGCAATGATGAGCTTAAAACCGATAGTCGCAGGAGGGAATAATAACAGCATCGGATAATTATTCACTCCTGATAGCGGGCATGTAAAATTGTTACTGTACTTCCATTAGCAGAGGGGGAATTTTGAGAGTTGCCTTGGTGCGTTTTAAAATTGCCTCTGTGCCCTTCCATTTTAGAGAAAATTCAAGGCGATTTCTCACATGCCCTAAAAAAATTGCCTTGCCCTTCTCGTCGCTTAATTCGAGTCCTGACGGTAACTTTTGAGCACGACTGGCTAATTTTTATGTATTTTTCAATAGATTATATCAGAGGTGAATAACGACAAATTTGTCTTTTATTGACTACTTCCAAGACTGCTAACCCAGGCTACCTGAAGGTAAGGCAGGGACATGGCCATGATAACAATTATTCCGGACAACACAAAATCTGGTAAATAAGTCAATAAAAAGCACCTCACCCATACAGACCAGCCAATAAACTATACCAGCGTTAGTACCGGACCATAGAATGCCTGATACAAGGTTCAACTGTATGCACTTTACAAAAATCCTACAGATGCGTACGATGGCCTGGGAACACGGAGGCGAGCCACTGTGCAGCACACGACCACTACATAATTACTCAATGCCTTCCAACGGAGAACCATTTTACGCTGAGTTCAGACAGCAACAACGGCCATAGCTACGCCCACCTTTTAAAAATGACGTTAACCGAAAATTTTTCCACATAACCAGGGCAGCACACGCTGTGATAGAACACTTCGCTTTCCTGACTATAGAGGCTTTCTTCGTATTACGACGACCAGATACGATAAGAAATATTTTCCAGACTGGTGAAGCTGTTTAAAATTGTGTGAACACTATCCTGTAAATTGTTTCATACGGCCATAAACACATGTATAGTTTACAACAGTCTAAGACTCTAGGGCCAACCTCAAATCTCCAGGTAGCCATATCTGTATCTGGGGATATATGAAACAACTACTGCTCACACCAAACCCCAATGAAAACTAATCGGGATTCCAAGAACGTGTACGTACATATATGTGCGCCGTGCACGCCTATATAACATTTGTGGACCAACGTTAGAATCAAGATGAGTAAAGAATAACATGCTTACGAAGTCGACTCCAATTGTGCTGATGTAGCTTTCTGTGTACGTATCGTCCTGAAAAACACACATCGCAAAAAGACTATAAGAAACAATCGCTCAATTCTCTTCACACATGAAAGGTTCTTAATAATGAAGATTTTTGATAATTTAAGGTTAATAAATGATTATAGATTGTAGTTTTATATAGATCTGACCTTCTGGTTGGGTCAACTGACACTCACTAAACTACAATTACACATTGACAGTTTCTCGATAACTCACACCATCTAACATTTCGCACAGTACAGCTACACTGCAACATTATTATGTCACACAATGCTGACATGGCTATGCCTACAACTGAGTAAACATATCCACAATATCTTCATGGCCGGAGTCATGCAAGGCTGCTACATAGCTAGTGTTGCATCAAACATGTACTTACAGCAAACCTTAGCAGTAAACAGGATTTTCCAACGCCAGAGTCTCCAATCAATAATAGCTTGAAAAGGTAATCACTGAAAAAAAGAATGAAAAAAAAAAAGTAATTAAATGTTACAATTCAAGTCTTCACAGCATATTCGTGTGGTTCCAGGATTTTCATACAACTGAGTCACCGATCAATAGTAGCTTCAAAAGGTAATCGACAAGAGAAATTGTTAAAATTCTCGGGGCACACATGCACGCACATGTATACACATATCACACACTCGCGCACACACACAGGAAGGCAAGCACGCACACACACACTCACGCACGCACGCACACACACACACACACACACACACACACACACACACACACACACACACGCACACACACACATGTACACAGTACAGGCACACACACTTATCTATTACACTATCTCTCTTTTTTTTTCACACACAAACACTCACACTCACACTCACACTCACACTCACACTCACACGCACACACACACGCACACTCACACTCACACTCACACTCACACTCACACTCACACTCACACTCACACTCGCACACACACACGCACCTCCATTTGTTGAAGCGTTTCAGTCTGCAATTATTCAGATATACCGAGCACATGTACGCATAAGATAATTACTTTTACTTCAGGTGATGTGAGAATATCAATCATGAAGCTGGTCTAGCAAATACCACATCAAGTACCTACTGTGATCCGATATTATCTATTCAATGATAGACATATACAAGAACTACCACCACAACATGTAAATCTAATCAATGTGACTTGTTGGTTTTTTTTTATTCACGATAAGAAGTTTAGTTCTACTTGGAAATTGTGATATCTTTGTATTTTATTGAACACAAAGTTCACTATAGAGAACATACCATTTATTATAAGGGGATCAACTGAAAATAACTTGAAACACATGTCAATAACTCGATGACAAAATTGACAAGTCAGAAATAGCATTTTACAAACACTGTGGCTATTCTAAATTGAAATCTGCTAGCATACATTATTACAAGTTACAGTAGATGATCATTCAGTAGTTGACGTAAAATTTCTCGAAACTAGCTGTAGTCACGCCTGCCCATATATACCAACTAGTACATATGGTGTGTATATACATGTATACATATCGTACTTTCAATGTTGGGTGGTTAATGTGTACACTGCACACACCATCGGGACTATGCCCACTTCTAACAGCACTTTCCACGACCCAACCTTTGACGAACAACCGTGGAGTTTATTGACTTATTGTTGAGTGAACAAAGCGCGCTTGCCAAATTTGGATCGGTTCTCAAAGTCAAGTACGAATTTTAGAGCAGCCGATGTAAACTGTAAAGGTGTGATATTGTGTGAATGCGTGACACTGACAGCGGGAATGACACAGCCTTGTGAAAATCCTCCCTGTCACCAACGTACAGCTATGTCGCAATCTTCCATTATTACTATGCAACACACATTCCTCAGCAGCTTTTCCCACAAGTCACAATTACTGTTCCATAATCCCTTAAAGCCGCACTATGCGCATCCAAACGCTAATTTCGCCAGTACTAGACTAGCAAATACTTCGTGTCATGCATAATCACACTACCTTATGACAAAATAAACCCTAGTTCCTCCCATTTCACGGCGCGTTGTCTTATAAAAGGCATTTGAAAATACCTCCAATGTTGTTCAAATTCTCCGATGTTGTTGACACTTTCGCGTTGCTCTGCCAAGCAATCGTGGAGCGGTGCTGCGGTACAGCGGTACGGGTGTAGCAAAGATAAAAAGATGTGACGTCACCTAACCGATTCTTGGCGAAATTGTTTGGCAAACAATTTAGCGTTGGCGCCAGATTACCCGATTTCGCACCTCTTTCTTGTGGGTTTTAAGCAAACGCGCACTGAAATGGGAGGAACTAGAGTTTATTTTGCCATAAGGTAGTGTGATTACGCATGACACGAAGTATTTGCTAGTCTAGTACTGGAGAAATTCGCGTTTGGATGCGCATTGTGCAGCTTTAAAGGGATCCTTTACTCTAGGTTCTAGGGTTATTTTCAGTTAATTTAGGTTAAAATTACGCTACATAAAGTTTCATGGTTCAATCGTGCACCATTAGAAATATTTTTTTAAACATGTTTTAAAACTAACGACTACAGTTTGATTACAACGACGGTGGCGCCACTCAAAGCGCACGATCTAAAAAGTTGCGCAAAACGACTTTTCAGCCAAGGGCTAGAGACCGAGGGTGTTTCTTATTTACTAATTTTAAAAAAGCAAAAGAATTGTAATATCTTATAAACGACATATTATGGATAAATTTGTCCTAAAATGGACATCGTTCAGTTAAATAGCATTTAGGTATAAATATAATTGCACCTTTGTGATTAGCCCTCGGTCTGTAACGTGCAAAATATATTGGGAAATGCGCAACTTTTTTCAGGGTGGCAGCACGGTCACGGGTGCCAATGGCGTCGTTCAAATTTCGTAGCATTGATGTATAATTAATTATAACAATTAAATTAGGTATCTGGTAACAAGTACGTGTGGGTATAGACGATTTGTTATACAGTAAGTACAGTTGTATGCAATAAAATCCTAGAGTCTAGTATCCCTTTAAGATGACACAATATCAATACGTCGTTTAAAATAAGTTCATTCAGTTGGTAGACTAATAGATCTATCTGGGTTAATTGTTACTCAACCGTAACGATTGAAAACATTCTCAATCTTCACGGTTGAGTAACAATTAACCCAGATAGATCCGATATCAATACGGCTCAATTCTACTATCACTGTTTTTATTGGCAAAGAAGCTTCAGGTTTCTATGATAATGTTTTTGGTCGCCATTACATAGTAGATGTATAAATTATAAAATACGTTATACAAGATCAAATGAGGGTCAGCATGCATCTACTGATGTCAGTAACCTGGTTATTGATGAAGTTATATTCCTGGAAAATGAAGTAATAATTGAAACAGCGCATTACGTATAATTAGACCCCCAAGCAGGGGAAAAAATACACGGGGGCGGCGGGCGATTTCGCCCCCGAAATGCCAAAAAGAGCCCCCGAAAATACGATATCGGGGGCGACCCCAAAAGCAAAAGTCGCCCTGGAAATCGATTGTCCAGGTCGGTCCCGCGCCTTGCCGATCTCGCTCGGCCTCTGCCGCTAGCGGCAGCCGGTTCCACGGCGCGGTAGAATTCCTGGTACGGTGTGGCTGTCAAGTGTTTATCATTAAGCATGCATGTGTGTATTGCATTCAATCAAGCGCGCGCCGCCGCCCGCGCGTATATATACGTGTGTGCCTGTGCGCGTGCTTGCGTGTGTGCCTGCGCGCGTGCGTGCGTGCGTGCCTGTGTGTGCCGGTGTGCCTGCGCGCGTGCGTGCCTGCATGCGTGCGTGCGTGTGTGCGGGTGTGCCTGCGGGCGTGCCTACGTAGACCCGTAGGACCAACGACCCGTAGGATTATAGAACGGTAATCCATGGAAAATCCTAATGAAATTCACACGTATATTTTTCCCTGCCGGCACACTCGTGTGTCATTCCCGATTGTAGCTTTTTTTGTCAATTCCCCGAAAGAGTTTTGCTGCCGCTCTCTCATAGTCCAGCAATGCCAACCCTCTAAATTTTAGTAGTGATTAGTACCACGCTGAAACAATCGTGCCCCCCCCCATACTTCAATCAATGCCGCCCCTGCCAGCAGGCACGTACGCAGCGTCGATGTGCACAGCCATTCACACGTGCCTCGCGGGCCGCTTTCTCAAACCCCCTGAGCTTCCAGGGCCCTTACGCGGGCCTTGGACCCCAGCCGCAAGAGACTTCGCGTATAAACAATCGATCCTCCTAGCTCGTACAGGCGGACATTCCACTATTTGGGCTAGCCGTAATAGTTCTGTGTTTAGCTGAACCTGTGATGTATTCACTATTCATTGTGGTTGTGACTTGTGAGTTGTGATTATCATGTTAGTCTGTCAGTCTGATGAATAACTGTCTTGAATATTGACTGTTGTGTCTGTGTGTGTCTGTGTGTGTGTGTGTGTGTGCGTGCGTGCGTGCGTGTGACGTGTGTGTGGTGTGTGCGCGCCCCCGCGAGTGTGTATTAGCTACTGTGCTTGTGTGTACATTTGAGGAAACAGCCCTGGAAAAAAGTCGCCCTGGAAAGTGGAAAAAGAGCCCTGGAAAATGAAAAAGTAGCCCCCGAAATTTTGGGCGGGTTTGCAAAAAGAGCCCCGGAAAGAAAAAAATTAATTTGTTCACTGCCCCCAAGGTAGCACTTTTCTCACAGAGTATCATTTTGCATAGCACTCAAGCATTTTAGAACAGTAGACCTGCAAATTTAATAGAAAATGAAAAAAAAAACACGACAATCCACTAACGAAAATATCCGAATACTCGCAGAACAATCACAAATCATGACACGTGTCGAGAGCAGCTGTTTTCACAAGTTTACGTTTCCACTGCACTTCAAAGTTCAATAAAAAATGTATTGTATTGAACCACGGCCTAATAGCAATCAAGCCGACTATTAGCCCAAATTGGCGGGGTACTTAGTGATACATAATACTGTATCATTGTAATTGCTCTAAACAATCAACCACAAATCTGGAGCATTAGTGTCACGACAACCATCACGCCAGACAGTGTCACCAACAATAAGACTTTTTACCTTTTTTTCAGTAGCTCAGGTGGCACTGCCATTGTGTTCGCTTGTACATATGCTTCACTCTGTCGCTATATATATCTTAGCAGAGATATATTGTACTATCTCAAACCCCCTTTTCCTATTTAGCGAAGTGCACTATATGAAGGGTTGAAATTAAGAGTCAGGGCTCAAATACTCCTGCTTTTACTGTTGCACTCCCTGATACTACACTTGAGCTGGAGTTTGTCTAACTCCATGAAAACCCTGTCAGATGACAAAAAATCTAAATACAATATCGCTTTTAGTATTATTGAACTCACATTCTCCAGTAATCTACAGCAGACCATAAATCAATTTATGTCATTTTAGCAGTTGTTGATACATTATTGTCAACTTTACTTTTTTGTCTTTGTAGTGTTCACACTGTGGCC